TTGCCCTTTTTTTTAATAAGTGCCTCATACCCTTCTCCTAAGTAGTTTGTCCTTTGTACATCGTGGCATTCTTGTCAACGTGATCGAACAAACACTGTTGTTTGCTCGAATAACATGCTTATGATTTGATAATTAAAGAATTTCGCTGGGGTCGTGCAATCTCTAGAGAAACATGCACACAATTGTGGCCAGATCTGTGACCGCCAAATCTCGGGCAAACAGTTCATGAGAAAAACATAAACACAGGCCGGAACAAACATGCCCCTTGCTGTACTGGACATCCGTGCAACAAACGCACGTACAAATACTTGACAAGCCTTCTTAAACCCGCCAGTTCCGCTCCTACTCTTCCACATTCTCCTTTCTCCCCTCACGAAGGTTTATTTTGGGTTTTTGTATGAATGTGATGCCCAACATGTCTTATCCGGACCTTATCGCAGTTTTATAATAGCCGATGTTGACACGGCGGCCCCAGTACAAATCTAGCCGCAAACACTAAAATTCCAAACAAGCATTTCTTCAAACAGATTTATCCGAATGCCTCATCTCGGGTGGTATGGCAGGGACGTGAGAAAGGGGCCAAAGGCATGCTCGGGGCTCGAAATACTGGGTGCATGTGCACAAAATTGGAACTGTGCACCCAATTTTTCTTCTGTGGGAACACTAGTGCACCCATACATTTTTGTGCATATTTTTGTACATATTCATTTGTACATATCAAATGTATAATAGTATACAGGATATTCTTGGCATCCAAGTGTCAGAAAAATGATAAAATCTTTGTTGTAGTACTTTTTAAAAGATTTTGAAGTTAGCTCCCATTTCAGATTCAAGCTCAGATGAGGAGCAATAAAATCTTTTTTTTTTATATGGTGCCCCCAAACAATTTTTTTGTGCAACTAATTATTTAGGTTGGATGCACCTATTCCCAAAAATGAATTTCGAGCCCTGATGCTGGTCAAGAGAATGTTGGGGGCTGCTGCAGAGATTGACGGCATTTCACACATCCAGACAGATTAGCCCCTCGATCTGACTAAACCATGAGTCATCCTGCTATGTTAGACCAAGGTCACCCCAAGAATCCTAACAATAAACAAGGCGAACATCTGAACTCCTTTCCTCACAAACAATTCTGTAAGGCTTGAATTACAGTCCTGACCTCGCTAACCAGAGGGCCAACTTTTAACAACCATCCCGAGCTGCTTTTGCATTCCTCTCCAGGCTAGCTAACGTAATTTAACTTTTCACGATTAAAATTTCCCCACACATATCCAACAGATAGACAGCTCGAAATAAGTTGCATAAATATTACCAAACACGCCAATATAGTAAATTGTCAAGTCTCGGAATAAGCATTAGCAATACTTAAAAGATATATGATTGTTTAGATTCCCTCCGGTGCTAAGTCGTATGTTTCTTTATTCTTCCATTATGCACTTGCAGTATGGCAGTTCATATTTATGGACTTGTAATCTGAAAGAATGTTGTAAAGCGTACATATATCCTAGCAATGGGTAAGCTAGGAATGGGGCCCGGCATAAATTATGTGAATATTTGGCTGGCTTCTTGAGGGTTTAAACTCAGGCCAGATGGTAGTTCAGGAAGGAGGGGCTGCTAGAACAACAAGTCTAGACCATATCTAACTCAAGCTTCCTCTGGGATGTGTGTTATCTGGGAGAATATCTACAAGCCCAATAGAAAACTGCCCCCTTTTTTCACAAGGAAAACATATCAAACCATACTGATAAACCTGCTTGTATCAACAGTGATTAAATCATCCCAAACTAGAGTTCCACGATCTCATACCTTCGCCAAATGATGTTAGCTTTTATGATTAAGAAATTATATATTAATCCCCCTAATTATGCAAATAAGATCCTCAATTGCATGAATTATATCTGTTGATCATATGATCATATTCTCCACCAAAAGACAGTCTTATCTTAACAAAGAATGCCATGATGAAATTTTCTCATAAATTATGCAAATGAGGTGCTTATTTGAATAAGTTATGTTTAATTATGTTCACCTTAACTTAACTTTCAAACACCCCAAGTATAAAATTCCAGGCAGTTACCACTATGCAATTATAATATTTTCTCATTAATTATGCAAATTAAGTCTTCATTTGCATAATCGATATCTGCCTGTGTTTCTCTCATTCTTAATAACATATGTCACAAGCTTGAACTTCCTATTATGGAATGCAGCTGATAAATAGAATTTCCTCATTA